TGCGCTAACGCTTCCTAGCATTGATGCTAACGCTGAATTCCATGTAAAACATATTGCTTGTGTCAGTTGTGCTAACGCTACCTAGCATTAATGCTAACGCTAAATGCCATGTTTAACAAATTGCTTGTTGTCAGTTAGGCTAACAATAGCTAACATGGTGCTATCGATGGGGCTTTACTTTGATTATTTACTAAATAGTTTAAATGATTATACTTTTATATTTTTAAGACCGGAGCATTGGTGGAGCTAACGGTTAGCTGCTGTCTGTCAGCCCTGAAGCTAACCGGCTAACGCTAGCCCCCCAGTGACCGTTATGAAGCTACTTCTTCACCAGAGTAAAAATAGAAGTACCAGAGTGTAGGAATACTCTGTCACAGTAAAAGTCCTGCATTCAAAATGTTCCTCAAGTAAAAGTAGAAAAGTATTATCATCAAAATATAGTGAAAGTAGCGACAGTAAAAGTAGTCATAATGCAGATTGGTCCATTTCAGAATAATATATATGATATGTTTTATAATGATTGATCATGAAAGTGTTCTCAAAACTGGTAAAGGTGCAGCTAGTTTGAATGACTTTGTATACTGCAGGGTAGCTTGTGGATTTACTCCAGGTGGAACTAAAGTCTGATTTAACACATGGTTATATTGATATATATTGATATTGATAATTCAGGCATTAATGACATTAAATGTGATTTTTTTTATTGTCAGGCACACTGGCAGATGGGAAGGTGTTTGACTCCTCGAGGTCCCGGGGGAAACCGTTCAAATTCAAGATTGGACACCAGGAGGTGATTCGAGGCTGGGAGGAAGGAGTAGCGCAGGTGAGGAGCTGGTTTTTTACTATAAATAGCTTTATCACTAGAAATGATACATGCTTGATCGTGCAGTTACTCACATAACATGTTCACTGCTGTGTGCATTACTTCATTTAGTTACAGACACCGTATCTCTAAACAGAATTGCACTTACTTTCTATATCATAAGTAAACATTTGCACACTTCTGCACAAAACAGTTTGTCCCTTAATTAATACCTCATTTTATTTTTTTATATGTTCATTGTTATGCACCAATAAGGCCAGCCAGGTCATTGTGAAAACCTTGAATGAATATGTTGTTAATTCTCGGTCTAATTCAGGATTATTAATCAGAGGTTTTGGGAGCTGCAACAAGTAGTCTATTGATAGATATACAACTGCCATCCGTCAGAAAATGCTCAAGCCTCTTAAATATGGAGATGTGCTGCTTTCCAATGTTTTGTATCATAATGAAAGTTAATATCTCTGGGTATTAACCGCCAGATTAATCTGTAAATACAATATTAGTTTGTGTTGTTTTTACGCTGCTATGGACAGTCTTGCACTAATGTACATTTCCCAAAGATATTGAAGTGACTGTTATTTTGTATATATTGATTGTTCTGCTTTTACTTATGTCTTAATGTGTGCATATTTATACATTTGTCTGTTGATTGTGTATATACATATTCTTATACATATTATTGTATTCTGGATTGTGGAAACGGTATTTCGATCTCTCTGTCTGTGCACACAAACTGAAAGATTGACAATAAAGTTGACATAGAGATTAATCTGTAAATATTAGTTTGTGTGGTTTGTCCATAGTAAAAGCTTGTATCTGTTTCTGTATTTAACTCTTTATAAACCCCCCCCCCACCAGATGAGTGTGGGTCAGCGGGCGAAGCTGATTTGCTCTCCGGACTTTGCGTACGGCAGCCAGGGACACCCGGGCATCATCCCGGCCAACGCCACGCTCACCTTCGACGTGGAGCTCATCGGCCTGGAAGCCTGAACTCTGCTCACTTTCAATTCCACTCAAAATATCAGGTAAGAAGTCCATCGTTATTATAATCCACGGTGTGGATCCTACTGCGTGGGTTTAAAGGGGACCCATTATGCAAAATCCTCTTCTTCATGTCTCTTCTACATCAACATGTGTCCCCTCTTCTTCATGTCTCTTCTCCATCAACATGTGTCCCCTCTTCTTCATGTCTCTTCTACATCAACATGTGTCCCCTCTTCTCCATGTCTCTTCTACATCAACATGTGTCCCCTCTTCTTCATGTCTCTTCTACATCAACATGTGTCCCCTCTTCTTCATGTCTCTTCTACATCAACATGTGTCCCCTCTTCTTCATGTCTCTTCTACATCAACATGTGTCCCCTCTTCTTCATGTCTCTTCTACATCAACATGTGTCCCCTCTTCTTCATGTCTCTTCTACATCAACATGTGTCCCCTCTTCTTCATGTCTCTTCTACATCAACATGTGTCCCCTCTTCTTCATGTCTCTTCTACATCAACATGTGTCCCCTCTTCTTCATGTCTCTTCTACATCAACATGTGTCCCCTCTTCTTCATGTCTCCTCTA